AAACTAAGCTTCGGACAAAAATTTTGTAAAAGGAAAAATCGTCTCAGAATTCGTTCAAGAATATGGCATTGCAAGGACATCAGGTTATTTTGAATCACCCTGTATTCCCCTCCACTATTTACGATCTCTTCCCAACGTTCGACCAGTTTTTCGATCCTACTGCGATAAAAGTGAGCTGGTTTGGAGGCAAAAAAAAAGCGGCAAACCAATTTTGTATTTCTTCGTCGTTTTTAAAGGTAATGCCACGCATATTGTTGGAGAGGAAATGGAAAAAGTGGTAATCCGACGGGATGGTGAGTAGGAGGTTCCGGATGCGGCAGAACCTCCGAGCGTAGCTCCTGGATGGCTGCTTTCGTAAAATTAGCTGTGTGCAGCCGGGCATTGTCATGTTGCAAAATGACATTATATCGGTGGTTTGGTCGTTTTTGTCGAATCGCATTGGCCAGATGTCGCAGTTGTTGCAAATAAAGCTCGGTCGTGATAGTTTGATTTTTTGGAAGTAACTCGAAGTAGATGACACCTTCTCAATCCCACCAGACCGATAGCATTGTCTTCGGTAAAAAAGCACTACGGACTTATGATACAGCCCAACCCTAACAGCACATGTAGATACTGAGAACAATCTAAGAATATCGCAAAAGTATAATTGTAATATTCTCAGAACATTCTCAAATGTACTGCGATGTACGTAGTACGTTCTAGGAATCATCGTATGTCCGCGGTATCATCTTCCATAGAATTTCGCAGGAAGGTCTATAGTTTAAAGACAGTATCAAGATAGGATAAAAATGGGAATGTTGCAGTAGATCACATATACATGCACACATTTACACAGCCAAACGCTGAAACGCGCGTTCATATATTGTATAGGATAATTTAGATTAGGTTAATTAATCAGTCAATTTCGTATTAATTGATATTTTTATTTCAAAATTACGACCGTAAGCGTAAAAATATTTACATAAAACTTACAATATAAAATAAAGTTCTAGAAGCCTAAGCTAGAGAACTTTAAAGGAACAATACTGCGAACTGAAAACAGTTTTATGTTAAATCATCTTTTTAAGACATTGTTTAAAAAATAATTAAGAAAATGTATTGTATATTTAACCAAAAATCAAAGAGATGAGAGGCAATTATAATGCAAGTTTACGAACATAACCTTAAAATATTTTAAGCAAAATAATTTAACAAGTACATAAAAAATAATAAAAATATTACAAAAATCATATACAAACACTATCTAGCTCTTACACTTTATTCACTATTTTGTGAAATAAAACTTAAAGGAAAAAAAGATTACCTTCGATATCAGTAAAACCTCGGATACGTGGTGTTGCGTGGTGTCACTTGATGCCGGGCAAGCGGGAAAAGACCGGAAATAGGAATTACGTATGTAAATGGCGCAAGTTAGTGCTGGTCTCGTCAAACTTGAGATTATACGAGCGCGATAGAAGTGCGTATGTATCACTTCCGTACGTTTGAGTCAAACCTAAGATTATACGTGTGCGAAAGAAAACCGAATAATACTGCAAAAGATATTATAGGATTGATCTCAGTATTTAACGGATAATCACAGTAGAATGAGTATGAAAATGGGATGATACGCAGGATATCGTGTGCTGTTAGGGAATATATTTCACACAATAAATATAATAGAAATTCTTAGAGATAATTACTTATCACGTAAAAATGGAAACTATCTGTGTTTTTTGCGTTAGATAATATTTCGTTTGTAATTGTTTTTGACTTGTATGAAATACTGCTAAATCATCTTCGCGCCAAATATTTATAAGCAACAATAATGCAATAAGTATTGTGTTAGATACGTGGAGATGTCGATAAATCCAATTATTTAATTCACCTACAAAAAAATATAATATTTTATTCTTACATTCCTGTTTATAGCAAAGGTACAAAAAAAATATATTTAATAAAAATTTAACAAAAATATAAAATCAAATATCATAAATGCATTATCTACGACAGCGCTCGGAATTAGTTGCACATTTTGCCGATTCCCGAGACGACGCCTCCTGTTCCCCCACTACCGCCTGGCCGCTGGCGGCCGAGCCGCCGATAGCTCCGGCTCAGAAGTTTTATACAGGGTGTCTGGCGATAATTGCCCCACCGGTCATATACAGGTAGAGGAGGTCAAACCGAGTAAAAAAGTCCTTTACCATTTTTTTATTTTTGTAATAAGTACTGAGTAATTAACGAAAAAAGATTGGCGAATCCGCGCGAGTAAAACGCGCGCGGCGAGAAGGACGTCCCACTGCTACGCGATCACTAGGCGCGCGATGAAGCGTTGGGAGGAGCGCTCT